CGAGCATCCGAGGGGCCACGCCCCTCTCAGAGCCCCGCCCCTTCAGGTGAGGGTTCCCGGGGCCGGCGAGCCCTGGCTAGGGCCAGGTGCTGGGGTGGGCAACGCGGGGTCGACAGGGCCACGGGTTCTCATGGGGGTAAACAGCCTCAGAACTTTCCGTGCTGAGGAAAAGTCTCCACCGCAAGTTGCCCTCCCCCTCATCTGGCTCTGGCTGGAAACAGTAATTACACCTCCTGCTGTGGCACCACCACCCACCCCGGCCCCCTCCCAGGCCGGCTGGGCAGGGCAGGGTGCAGAGGATTCTGGCGTTCCTTTCCCCAGCTCACTCCCAACTCTGGAGGAGGCAGGAGTGGTCCCCACCCCTAGAGGAAGTGGTGGCACGGGGAACTTCCCGCTCTGCGATCGGGGAAACTGAGACCTAGGGAACCAGGGAAGGGGGGCATTTAGGGCTGAGGTCAGGCCGCTGACACAGTAAGTAAAGGTGTCCCCCAGGTGGTCAAGCCCAGAATCAGCAGGGCTGAGAGAAGACGCCCATAAAAGGAAGGTTCACCCTCTGCCTGAGCCCCCTGAGGGGCTGGAATCACAGGCTCAGGGATGGCCAGGAATCCAGTCCCCTCCAGGAGGCTGTCACTGACCTGAACCCTGAGCCCTCACCACCCTCCAGAGCCCCAACCTCTTGCCGTGACCCCCAGTCTGGCCATTACCCACCACCCCTAGTCCATGACCTCCCACTGCCCCCTAGCCTGCACCTGAATGCCCTTTCCTAGCCAGGTCTCCACAGTCAGACTCATATGACACCTCCTCCCAGAAGCCTTCCGGACCCTCCCCCCCCCTTAAGGTCAGAAGTTCCCTGGCCACCCTGCCATCTCTTATCACACCTGCCTCCTGCCTCCTATCACAGGCAGCTGTGCCTGAGGCTTATCTTGCCCAGACTGTGGGCTTCCCCCAGGCACAGAACCTGCGGGCTCAGCAAGCACACGGCCTGCAGCCGGCCCCATCCTGTGTGCAGGGAGCTTCAGTGAGAGAGCCTGGGAGGGAAACAGGCAAAAGAGCTGGGAATAGCCAGGACTCCCGCACTCGTGAGCCAGCGTCTTCCACATCCTGGAGCCCAGCCACACCCTACCACGTCCCTGTTTCACAGATGGAAACTAAGGCGTACGGGCGAGATAACCGGCCGGAAGTCACACAGGGACTTGGTGGCTGAGCCCCTGCCCCTGAGCTTCTCACCCTTGGCCAGAATTGGGGTTTGGCTCTTAGAATCCGCGGTCAGCCTGTAGGCTGGACAGAGGCCCGTGGTCTCTCTAGGCCATATCCAGAGCCCTGACTCAGTGAGGAGAAAGTTCTCCCCACCAGGTCCCCAGAGGACACCCCTTGACTCACCCCAACCACTTCCTGCCACTTCTTCCCCTATTTCCCTCGGAAATCTCCATGCCGATGGCTGGCTCCACCCGGGCCTGGGTCAGGGTGGGGCCCAGGGCTCAAGGGGTTTGGGAGTCTCCCCAGGGCCTAGAGAAAAAAGTGTGCCACCTGCTGGGTGGACTGGTCTCTGTCCCTCTTGAGGCATTGAGGCCACACCCCAGGTCCCGGCGGAATCCCGGTCTAGAATCTGACAGGAGCCCTTGGCGGGCGGGGGACACTACTGTGTTCCCAGGCCCAGGACTTGTGCTTCTGGACCCTCAACTTCCATCATGTGGACAGGGCAGTGCCTGGCCCCCACCACAATGCTCAGGGCACTTATTATGATCAGCATGGCCCCACTGGGAAGGGTGATGAGCTCGAGCCCACAAAGCGAGCTTGCTGGAAGCACAAGCGTGGCCCAATAGCCACCAAGACACCTATGTCCCCTCATGGAGCCTCAGGGCCCTCAGCTCCAAGGAAACGCAGCAAGTTGGCAGCAGACAGGACTTGAAGTCAGTGTGCCCGACCCCAGCCCAGGGCTGGCCCCGAACTAGCTTCCCCTGGCTGAAGCCTGCCCAGCCCAGGCATTGGGGTGACTCTGGAAAATGGAGGCCAGCGAGAGGAAGAGACACCGGGGCAGGGCAGGGCCAGATCAGGATGGCACAGAAGGCGGTGTCCTCCCAGCATCTGCCCGGGATGCCCGTGTCGGAGAGGGCAAAGCCTGCCAGCAGAGGCCTGTTCCCTGTCAACCAGTCCCTGCAGAGGAAGGGTCAAGAGGGGCCCAGAAAGCCTAGGGAGACGTAGCCCCACCCCCCAACCCCTGACTGTACCCAGAAGGTACCCTGAGATCAGCTGGCTCTGTCCCCACCAGAGAGACTGAGGCTTGGAGGGAAGTGGCCAGCGGGAGTTCTCTGTCCTTTACACCCACCATGGCCAAGTCTTCCCCGACTAAAGTCTAAATTCCAACCTACAGGGTTAATCTTCAATGTTGGGCTGAGCGGTGGTTGGCTCTACAGAGGCCTGGGTGAGGTGTCACTGTGACACAGAAAGTGCTAATCCCCGGGTGGCAGGGCCATGTCCACTGGCCTCTGCACCGGACCTTAACAAGCCTTCCCCAGCTGCAGCACTGGGATCTGAACTTTGGCTGAGAAACCAGAAGACAGTCGCTGTAATCACTTACTGTCCCCACACCCGCCTGCCCTGTCCAGGGCCCTGCCAGCCTCCTTTCTACAGCAGTATCCCTCCTCTGTGCTCCTTCCCACCCCTGGGAGAGGACCCCCTCATGTGCTCTGAGACATCCTTTAAGCTTTACTCAGCCTCTCAGGCCAAATTTCCCCCCGCTGTGGCCCAAGCCAGGTCTGAGTATGCACTTGGCTCAGGGTCTGGAAAAGCCCAGGTCTGCGACAGAGACAACTGCAGCCAACGGCCAATTAGCTGTGCTAAGCGGCCCAGGAGGAATTCTTTTCAGCAGCTGCCACCCAGTCGCCAACATCTGCTTATCGTTAGTGCCCCTAACCCAGGCCCCATGTCAGCCAGGAGCAGTAGGCACACGTAGAGATGCACTCACCGCCACCCAGCTACCCAGCAGCATTGACATGCCCACAGACACGCTTACAGACACAGACAGCCATGGGGGCACGCCGGTTACACGAGCTCGAGACCCACGCGGCATCCACGTGTACTCACTCTTTCACAAACACACACACAAACGCACGTGTCACACCTCTCAGTGCCCAGTGACAGGGAGTGGAGCCCATGCAGGAGGCAAGATGTCCTCACCCTGGCCCACACTGTCATCCAGGAAAACCACCTGCAAACAGCCCAGAAAATGTTTTCTGCCCCAAATCTGTGTCTGATTCCTGGGGCCAGAAGAGTGACAGTGGCTTCTTCCTTGAAGGCAGTTTGCTTGGGGACCTGTGTGAATGTGGGGCTGTCTGGAGGTCTGTGGGGCCCCCCACAGGAGGCCTCCCCACACACTTGCAGACCTGGCTGCAGGCATGCCGGACATCTGTTTGGGGGGGCTGGGAACAGAGGGGTAGTTTCCCCAGGGTCCAGGCTGCAGGAGGAGGGAGCTGGCTGCACAGGCAGGGCTGAGGGGTGAGGAGCTGCTGGCCCAAGCGTTAGCTGCCTCCGGAGCTTATTGCTCACAATAGGTGCCCGCAGGGGACATTGGTAAGTCTGCTAGTCCCTAGGTCTCAGCTTCCTACAGTGCCTGGCAGGAAACAGGCTCTGGGCTGCACGCGGACCGAGTTCCAGCCCTGACTCCGCGTGACCTCCAGCAACCTCTTGTGCTCTCTGGTCCTCAGCGTCCCCATCTGCACAATGGGTGGAGGATGAGATGGGTGTCGTCTCATCAGCATTCTGGAGCCCCCCGGGCCGGGGGGGCCACCCTACTCACCTCATTGCGGCCGAGAGAGTTGTTGCTCAGGGAGGAGGTGATGCCTGAGAGGATGGCGGTGGCGACGATGGCCCCCACGCACTGGGCGATGATGTACATGACGGCCCGGAGGATGCTGATCTGGCAGCTGAGCAGCAGCCCCAGCGTGACGGCCGGGTTGAGGTGGGCACCGCTGATGTGGCCCACGCTCTGGGCCAGCGTGGCGATGCTCAGCCCGAAAGCCAGTGACACCTTCACGTTGTCCTGAGTCGCACCCGACGTCTGGTTGTTCTTCAAGGGGTAGTTGAAGCCCAAGGCAGAACCAATGCTGATGAAGACGAAGAGGGTCATGGCCAGGAACTCGGCCACCACCGCCCTCCAGAAGAGCTTCTTCTTGAACTCGCTGGCCATGTTGGCAGGGGGCTTGGCTTGAGTCCGCCGCCTGGTGCTTGACTCCCTCTGAGAGCTGAGCCACAGCCTGGGCTGGGCCTATTTATAGGGCCCCTGGGGGAGGAGAGGAGGGGGAGCACAAAGGGAGGAAGGCCTCTCCTTGCTCCTGGCCCGCCCCACACCACACGGGCCTCCTCTCGGAGATGGATGCAGACACAGCTCTGCTGTCGGCCTGCCAACTTTTTTTCCCTTCCTCCTCTCCCCCCTCCCTCCCTCCCTCCCTCCGCCCTCGGCCCTGCCCAGCCCGAAGAGGCAGGCAGGAGGCAGCCACTGCTCTAATAGGCTTTGGGAAATTCCTTCAAGTTGGCCCCACTCAGGGGGCCAGAGAAATTCAGGTGTCTCCGCCCTGTGTGCACAGCTCAGGGGGTACCTGAGAGCAGAGCCAGGTGCTCCGGATGGGACGCGGTGGGTGGGCTGGGCTCAGCGGGTGGACACTGCCCTCCCCGGGCCAGGTGACATGACCCTGCCGGCCTGACATCCCCATCCCACCCCAGAGTGGCATAAGTCTGGAGTCCACGAGTCCAGGGGTTTGAGGGGCGGTCTAGGTCTCCTGCACCTTAGCCCAGGCCTGGCTACTGGATGTCACTTCAGGGATGTCCCAGAGCCCCCAGCCACAGCAGCCAGGCCTCAGCTGATGGAGACACGAAGGCATCAGAAGGGACAGAGCGGAGACCACCCTCCACTCTGTGGCCAAGAGCGTTCCTGGGCGGGGAGAGGGCGACCTGTCGGGAAGCCCCACGCTGAGAGGCCTCGTGCTTCTGGAGCACTTTGAACTGAGGATTCGGGGGCAGAAGAGGAGAGCCGCCTAGGACTTGCTTCTAAAAGGTAGTCAAGCTGGCAGAACCCCTGGGGAGACAAAAGGCATGACAGCCCAACCTGGGGGCTGGCAGGGAAGGAGGGAGGACGGACGGGATGGAATCCTCACAAGAATGGAAGCGAAAGAGACAGGGCCCCGGGCAGAGACGGAGCCAGGCCGGGCTGAGAGAGGAGACGGGGCTGGACCCAGAGGGAAAGGTGGGTGAGGAACGGGGAGGTGGGGAGAGGGACCAGACGAGCCACCCCACAACCCCACCAAGCAGAGGGGAAGGAGCGCTGCAGACGCCACGGTTCAGCCTGTGCCCTGTGCATCTCCAAACAGGAACCCAGCGGCAGCCCGAGAACTGAACGAGAAGCTGGACCCCTGGGCGAGGAGGCTGGTGGGGACGGGCCGGTCCACTGGCCTGCGCCTGGAAGGAGGAGGCGGGTGGGGCCCTGAGGGTGAGGCCGGCCCAGGAGGTTGGGGCTCCGCCTGGCTCTTCCACCCACTTCCTGCCTGGCCCATCGCAGCCCTACTGCACTGGAGTGCTGGCTTCTCCCCATTTTACAGGTGGGGAACTGAGGCCCCATGATGAGAAGAACTTCTCTGAGTTCTGCATGTACCAGGGGCAGGTCCTGTGCCTCCTGTCCAGGGGCCATCTGCAGAAATGAGACCAGGCGCCTCCTCGGCCGCCCTTCTGCCCAGCGGCAGCGCACTCCAGGGCCGCCCTGGCCCCAGCGATGAGCTGCCCAGCGGCCAGCCTGGTGTTTGCTGAGAGAAGGAGGCCCGCTGGGGCGGAGGCGGGGGCAGCTGTGTCCACCCAAGTGCACCTAAGTGCCTGTAAGTACAAGGCAGAGGGGACGTGAGGGAGGAGTCGGCGTGGCGGCCGGCAGGGCCTGCCTGCTCGGAGGGCCTGGTCAGCTGGAGATAATCAGTGCCTTATTAACCGTCCGAGAGAGGGAGCCAGCCCCACTGGGCCACTTCCCAGAAGGCCTCCACCTCCTTCAGTCCCCGCGGCCCAGGCTCCCGGAACCCCAGCTGCTAGTCCCAAGGCCCCGTCCACCGGCCTGGGAGTCTCTCATGCCCAGGCTTCGGAGGATGGCCCTGTGTCCCCTCAGACCACCTCTCGTCAATGTCCTCAAAGACACCCACACACCGCCCTCCCCAGCTTCCAGGTCTGGACAGTGCCGCACGTGTGCCTGGCCTCTGCTCGGTGCAGGGACGAGTTCCGACACTGGCAGGTATCAGGTCCCAGCAAGGAGGGCTTGAAGGTGGCAGGGGGGACGGCTGGCACCGGGCTCACAGGGGCCACTGGACTCGGCACTGCAGAGACAGGAGCAGGAGCCGGCGAGGGCCTGTGCGTGCCCTGAGTTTTACAACAGTTTCTGTGGGCCCGGTCAGGATCTGTGCACCTAAGGACACATGATGTGCCACCCTGCAGGAAGGTGAGAGTCACCTGAGACCTCCTAATTTATCCAACAAATATTTCCTTAGTGCATGTCATGCGCCCTACTCCGTCCCAGGCACTGGGACACAGCTGCAAACCAGACACTGTGTGGGCACTGTGGATCACAGCGTGTGACTGTGGAAGGCACATGTGTGTGAGTGTGTGCTTGGCAGAGACTCACGTCCTTCTGGAGCAGGGCAGGAGATGGGGAGCCCAGGGGTCACAAGGTAGGCAAAGCATCCACCAATCCCAGGAGGACACACGAAGATCCTCGAGGCAACACCCTTTTATCCGCTGCATCTCCCACCCACTTCCCCGTGCCAGCATGTCCTCTGCCTTAAGTGCCACCATTATAGCTCCGTTCCTTTGGACAAAGGCGTTGACATCTCCAGGAAGTGCCATCAGAACGCCCGCCTCGTTCACCCGCCTCTGTGGCCGTGACCTGACTATTTCAGTGAAATAGGGAAGAGAGAAGGGTCTCCTGCTGGAGCCCCAAACCCCTCCACCTCCTGCTCTCTGGTCTGACATGAATCTGAGCCTGCCGGGGAGGGAGGAAAGGAGGCAGCATGAAGCTGAGAGCCCGTCTTTACCTCAATCTGGGCGTCCCTGAGGCTGTGATTTGCCAAGGAATGGCAGAGCTGGGATGAGAACCAGGAACCCTAGTTCCCAGAGCCTGGTCCTCCGCCTGCCTGTCAGGAAGGGCCCCTGACGGACCTGGTCACCAGGCGGAAGCCCCAGCTCTGCGGGCTCAGGAACAAGTACAAAGGCTGGGTTTCCAAGCCCCAGAGGTGCTAGAAGGGGCGAGGGGTGGGAGTGAGGGGACCACACCCAGCTTTCCTGAATAATCAGGGGGCGGGGGAGTGAAGTGTAGAAGCTAAGAGTGAAGTGTAGGGCACACAGAGAAAGTGGGAGTTTTTGGGCCCTGAGGGGGGTGCCTCCACCACGGATCCACCTCCAGCGTGGCCCGATTCGACAGGCTCCACGTCCCTCCCATGGGCAGTGACACAGGCCCAGCCTCCGGAGCCCACAGGCCTAAGCCAGGCTAAATAAGGGGGGACCGCCCCATACCCCAGCTCCGAAGCCCTGGGTGGGGCTTGAGGCCGTGCAGGCCAGGGCGCTGGCTGGCCCTGCTGGAGCAACAGTCTCGGCAAATTGCTTTTCCAGATGTGCCCGGCAAGATCCACATTCCAGTAAGAGCTAACTGTTCCCAGGACAATCTGGGCTCCATCCCCACCAGGATCCAGGGGCAGAAGCTCAGGCTTTGTCCAGAGGTGGGTGCACAGAGCCTCAGATGCTCTCTAAGGATCTGGACCTCAGGCTGTATGGGGGAGAAGACACCCATGGGTGTGGCCGAGGCTGTCACTCTCTTAGCCGAAGCTTCTGCGGTGTGCAGGGCAGAGGGCCTAAGAGGAATAGACCCTCCCTCCTGGGCCGGGCCGGGATTTCCCACCGCGGGCTGGACTGTGGGACACAATGACTTCATTCCCTCCGGGAGGCCCACTGGAAAGATGGAGTGTCGGGTGGGAGGGACTCAGACGGCAGGCCGGGCATGATCATTTGGGCACCAGCAGCTCTCCAGCAGCTCCGATGAACTTTCCAGCATCACTCAGGCTTTCCTCAGTATAGGCAGAGAGCACTGACAGACGGTGGGAAGGACAAAGTCCCATCCCCGAAGGTCCTGGGGAGGGGCAGTAAGAGTCAGGAAACACCCTCTGCCACCTACCACCCGGCTCTGCCCCTCAACAGGGCGCTCACAGCCATCCCTTCCGTGACGTTGATCTAGGACCCGCCAGCTCTGGCTCTTGGCCATTCCAATGGGGTCTGCGTCCCCCCTCCCCAATAGGAGGCATGGGCCACAGCAGGGACTTGGCACTAATGTGGACCCAGCCTTCCCATGAGGCATGGCCATCCCCTCCCAGGGGAACAGAGGAGGGACCCAGGCCCAGAGCACAGAGATCAAGATGGAGACAGGACGTCCCTGCCGACTCCTCAGCCCTGTCCTCAAGGCCCTTCACTCACCACTCTGCAAGGCACTGGCCACCGCCCCTTCCCAACTCCAGCCCAGGCGCTGGTCCCTGTGCCACCAGGCTCACTGTCCCTGGACATGTCCTCCTCTTTCTCACCTGCGCCAGCCTCCCCGACCCCTCCCCCATGACAGCACACACACTTATGGGTGCGACCTCTCGCCAGCCAGGCGATCCCCTCACAGCCCCATGGGGTGAGGCTGGGCCTGAAGGCAGGGCCTGGGTCTCCTTCCCTGTCCACTGCGCCCCCAGCAGAGCTGCGCCCAGGGCGGGGTGTGGTGGGGAATGATGACCCGGGAAGCTTCTGCTCTCTGACCACCACACTGCCCCCGAGAGACCGGGCACCCACCCCTCAAAGCCTGTGAATTCCTCCCTGACTGACAGACGACTCCTGGCCATTTAGGCGTCACATGATCCCCCTTAAATCAAAACCGGATTTAATGGGCCACCAGTGATTCACCAGAGGAGGAACAATTTAGTCATTTTCTAAGCTGCTGCCTCCCGTTCACTTCTTACACTGCCCTGAGCAATATCAAGGCTTATGGGGCGGGTGGAGGGGGAATAATGTCAAACCTATTTCTGGAAAGCGGGATTTTCTATTCTGATGTTTTACCAACTCTCCGTCAATCACCCGCACTCGATGCCATGGAAGAGGAGCCAGAGAGATGGGACAGGGAACAGTCACCCCTGGCCTGGCTAGGGTCTCTGAGCGTTTGACACAGCGTGTCCAGAGATGGGAGGAGATTCGTAAGTCAGCTGGGCTCCCAGGCCTGAACGAGGGCGCCATGGGACACAGGGCTGCCCCATCCCACCCAGCCCCGCCTGGGCGGAAGGAGGTCGTGGTTCCCCGGCCCCACCCTCCGGGAGGGGAGGCTGCTGGGCCGGCAGGCGGCATCCCTCGCTTCCATAAAAAGCTGGTGGTGG